TGGTTGTGGGGGGGGGGGGGGGGGGGGAACCACCTTAATATAATTCATCGTGCAAAGTAATTCCGAAGAAAAAGGAAACAAGGGTTATGTCTTCAATAATCTAAAATGCCATTAGAAAGACACAGGAAGAGATTTCTTAAGATAGGCTTTTTATTGTTTAGGTGCAATCATAAAACCCTCACAAAAGTAAGAGCTAATTGACAAGGTGGGGGGGTCATTATTATCAAAAATCACCTTATTACGATCTTAAGTAGATGCATTACAGATGATGACTTCTTTAAATAAATCAAGACAAAAGAAAATAACACAGGAGGAAAACAACCTTCAGGGTTTTTTTGCACCATTACACATAGTATCTGTTCAATTTTAGAAAGCTAGACCAACTAATAGAAACATTTACAAGTTACAGAGCATTTTGTTAACAGAAAAAGAAAACAAAATTAAAGATAACTCACCCAAGTCTGGTGTTTTCAATTAAGCAAAATTCCCCTATTACACACCCACTAAACTGAATGGGAATTTTACTTAAGAATTTCAGGATTACACACAAAGGGTAACATCTTAACCCCACCGAAATAGAGGCAAAACTCCCATTTGACTTCAACAGAACTAAGATCCACCATAAAAAGTCACATCATTATTGGATATAATCTGTCATAAATATACTGGAATAAATAATTTACACTATATGAGAAAAATGAGTGCAAATGTCTCCATAAATAATGAAAATCATACACAGTTCATACTTTTTAAGCAAAAAAGCAGTCATAATTTAAGAACAAAGGCTAATTATCAGCAAGTAACAAGTTTTAACCAACCAGTAACAGTATTATTTTATTGACACATCAGATGAAGGCAAGTTTTTCTCCAATTCTTAAATATTTGCACACTTTCAGAACACAGTAAAACTAAATGAACCGATAATTTCGAGCAACCTTTTAGTTTTTCTGCTTTGACAGCAGTTGTGGATGCACTCGCTTGCTCTTGCCACGACAGGATAGTATGGACAGAGATTTCCAAAAGCACAGCACTCCCTACAGCAGAGGCAAGTTACTGATAGCGGAGAGACAAGCTACACGTGAAAACCAGCCACCTTTAAATAATACAAATAATTTCCCTTAAAACACTTACCCACACAAAAACACATCTACTGCTACAGACCTTCAGGAAGAATTCAAATTTTTTACATGTATTTTACACAAATCAAAATATTAATTTACTGAGAAGGTAATTACAAGAAGCTTGTTTGTATACCCTGTATCTCTGAGATTCTCCTGTTCTAAATATTAAATATATGTGGATTCTCCACTGTTTTAAAATTGCTAGAAACCTCTCTCGGTTTTTGAAGAAGTAAAGCTTCTCACTTCGCTAATACAAAAATTAGATTCTCTCAAATCTACCTGAATTTCTACGTTAAAATAATCCCGCTTATGCTCAAAATACAGTTTTCTTTAAACTGCGTATGTATTTCTTCTTAAATTCTCTCAAATCTACCTGAATTTCTACCGCGTTAAAATAATCCCGCTTATGCTCAAAATACAGTTTTCTTTAAACTGCGTATGTATTTCTCTGTAAAACATGAATTTCTTAGTAGTCTCCCCAGTCACAACGTTTGAAATTCAAATACACTGGCACAATACTCAGTGATCTTCTCGGACGGTGGCAGAAGTCCTTCCGTAAACAAACTTCGATGTGAAATCCCAGTGAAAACCAAAAGAGAAACTAGGAAGTCTGCGAAAGTTAATGACTTGATTCGACTTACACCGATAAAGTCCTTCGTGCCATACGTCTCCTTCCCCCATGCCATGACTCTTCCAGTTTGCCCGCCACAAGCCCAATTAACCTGAAACCCTGTTTTTGGTACCCAACCCCGCACACCGCTGACCGACGATGCTCGCCCGAGCTTCCTCCTTACCGCCGTGGCCCGACATTGGCCACGGTCACCCCCGAGCCCCCCAACCCTGAGCGCAGGCCCGCACGCTTCTCGGGGAAGCAGGGTGGTGGAGAAGACAGCCTGGCCTCCTACAGGGAGATCCAACCTCAGCGAGCTTCCCCAGGACGCTTCTCCACGGGCTCTGCGTTTAAAAGCTTACGGGAAAGAGGAAAAGTAAGCACGCGTGCGAATCAAGTATTAAAATAAGGCAAGCCTACAACCGCCCCTCGACAAATACGTAACAGAACTGAACCCTCTCCTCCGTACGCCGCGTGCCAAATTAACACGGCTGTTATGCCGTGTATGTTTTGTATGTTAATGTTTACTGCATTATCCTTCTGTTTACCGGGTGGGAAGGACAGCACTCGGTTCCCCCTGCTCATCTGCTCCTTCATTCCGGCTCTTCTCCCGGGCGGTGACCGTGCTCTCATCCACTCCAGGTTTTCTCGGTAACTGGTGCCCGCTCCCCTCCCCCTGCCCCCCCTCCCACCCC